ATATATTTTGGGAAAAAATGGGTTGGATTCAAAAATAGATGAAACATATTTCTTTTGTTCAAAGGAGATTAATGTCTTAATATACTAAGCAAGTTTCTATTACAAAATCAGAATAAGTTAGAATTGCAGTTGTATCTCATTTTATCTGTGTGTCTACAGCCAATAATTTTATCTTTCTGGACCTTTTAGAAGCCAGCACCTATAACAGGCAATTAAGAAGTGGTAGCCCGGCTGGACGTGGTGGCTCACACCTGTAATCCCAGTACTTTGGGAGACCAAGGTGGGTGAACCACAAGGTCAGGAGTTCAAGACTCACCTGGCCAATATGGTGAAACCCTGTCTGTACTGAAAATACAAAAATTAGCTGGGTGTAGTGACAGGCACCTGTAGTGCCAGCTACTTGGGAGACTGAGGCAGGAGAGCCACTTGAACCCAGGAGGCAGAGGTTGCAGAGAGCTGAGATCCCACCACTGCACTCCAGCCTTGGTTCTGTCAAAAGAAAAAAAAAGTGATAGCCTAATATGAAGAAATAGTGATGGTAACAGTAATAATAATAATGGCAATACCATGCAGTGGAAGAAGCAGCCTGTAAAATATTCCAAAGGACCATATTGGATTATTTTATCCTATAAAATAAAGTGCAATCAGATACAGCCGCCCACCCTGTGAGCTTCACATGGAGTGAGGCAAGGCACAGAGACCTCCCAAGTAAGTGGCTACAGAAATGATAGTGAGATCTACTTGCTGTCAGAGGTGAACTGCTTCATATATCACAAGTGAAAAATACAAAAAATAAAAAGCACGAGGGCTGTTTAGTCAACATTTAAGTGTATTTTAACATTATTTAATGCAGCAATAAGGGATGAGAATAATCTGATACTTGACATTCCCACAAGAATCAATCATTTAAAAGCCTCTTCTAGTTGTTGTCCATCTTAAACGTATTAATCACTGCCTCCTTGAGGCTTATGATGTTAAACTACAGGTGTAAATTGATGAAGGAATACAGAAAAATATTGGTTTTTCAAGTCCAAAACTGAGTAGAAAAAATGCTCATTTTCTTTTTTTTTTCTGTTTTTTAATGTTTTTATTATACTTTAAGTTCTGGGGTACACGTGCAGATTGTGCAGGTTTGTTACATAGGTATTCACATGCCATGGTGGTTTGCTGCATCCATCCCGTTTTCATCTACATTAGGTATTTCTCCTAAGTTTATCCCTCCCCAATCAAGGATTAGAAAACCTTCAGTTATAAAGACACATGCACACATATGTTTATTGTGGCACTGTTTACAATAGCAAAGACTTGGAACCAACCCAAATGCCCATCAATGATAGACTGGATAAAAAACTCATTTTCTTAAACAGGCATGCATTAAAATACTTTCAGTAATTCCACCCTGCAAGTACCTTGCTTATTACTGGTAGCTTTAGACTATCAAACTTTCCAAATCACAGTTTCTGTTAAATCTCTTAAATAACTGATATGTGTCTAATTTTCATGTGTATCAGGTACATATTAATATTACATTCATAGGTGATTATTTGAATAACTTCCTTTTTCTATGTGTCATTTGTTTCAGAAAACACATTTGTTTCACAAACAGGAGAGGGAGACTATTTCTTGAAAGTCCATAGGTTATAGCACACTTTAAAGCAATTTTCTGGAAACTAAAACTATAGATTCTATATGTTCAGGTACCAGAGACCCTTCAGAATTTAACTTAATGTTCTGGATGGCAGTTGGGCCTCATTGCTATATACTCCCTTATGAAAGACAAAGGGAATTTAAGATAATTTTTTTTGTCCTTACAATAGGGGTGTAGAAAACCTGTCTCTTTATGTGGAAGTCAGAGGAGAAAATTAAGAGAAAAACAGACAGGGGCAGGGAAAAAGCTGCATTCATTCCGGGGTGGGGGGTGGTGGTGAAAGAAAGCTTACAGGGTATTTTGCTAGGTAGTAACTCTTAGGGACACATATTGCTTTGAAAATTTGCACCCCTGTAAAACGTATACATGCAAACTCTGTGTAATAGTTCCTGGAGTTTAAGCACTTCCAAAAATGTCTGTCTACTGATACCAGGTAAAGAATCCTGGGTCTCTTTAGGTAAGAGAATGCTGATAGTCATATGTGCTTGCAGTGTATTTTTAATATTAGTTACACTGATAGCTCAAACAATTTGTTTATTTCTAAAGGTGCGTATCTTGAAACTGGTCTTAAAATCACAATACCCATTTTAACAGTATCGTTCTGATGGATCACTCGTTATATTTTATCATTGGCCAAACATCCAAAAGACAGAAAATATTTAAAATATGAAAACAGAGGTCATGCATGTTTTGCCAAAGTATACTCCATAATTATAAGTGATCCGAACGAAAACATCCTAGAAAAAAAGTTTAACTCCTTTGACAATGTAAAAATGTTGATAAAATTATTTGGACATTTATTTAGATCCTGAAGCTGAGAAGTGTATCATTAAACTCATTCTTGGAAAAATACATATGCATTGTAAATCTTAAAATTTGTAAATTATCTATTTTTATGAACATACTTTGTTTTATAAATAGTATAATGTTATATATTTATATGTGTTATCTATCAAATTCAGAATATTTACTTCTGACTTACTAAAAGAGACAGTGAAAAGAGGAAGGAAATTGTAATGGAATATTTCAAGAAATGTTCCTGGAAATGATGAAACTATCCCTACTCCTAGATGGATTACTGAGATATTTCAATCCATTCATGATGAAAGGATGATTCTAAAAGCTTCCAGAGAGGTGGGGAAAAGTGATATACAAGGAATCAGGGGTCAAAATAGCTTTGGGTTTCTCAACAGCAAAACCCAGGTGAGAAAGCAGTGTATGGAGCAGCACATGGATGTGCACTGTAGACTCATTTTAGGCTACACATTGATTATACGTGAAAGTTTCCAACTGTCTGAATTATACATTATTTTTATTTAAGGGAGTTGTAATGAAAGTATCATTCTTAGAATTCTTTGCTCTTAAATATGAACTCCACATTTCAAGTATATGCATTTGCTTAAATGTACAAGAAATGTTTCATGTATATAATTTCAAACTTACTTTGAATTTTTCCTTACATTAAAATTTGAGAAAAGAAACAATTTGTAACCATCTGTTGAAGTTGAAACAATCTTCTTTAAATTCTAACCCAGTAACCAGTCATGCTTTCTGCTCCAAATTCAACTGGCACTGCACTGTGCTTGATTTTTGACATTTCGTGATTCTCTGTTGTTCCTGGATAGTTTGGCAAGGGTTGTCTTTTGGACCTGGAATGTTCTCAGCCTTTGGGACCAGATGCAAGTGTTGTCTGCCTGTGAGTCCCTTCCTGTCTCTCTGAAAATGCAGGGGCACCCGTATTTACGGCATCACTGTCATGTTTGTTATTCTTTGTGGTATTTGTGTGTTTCTATAGTAGTGTTAGGCTGTGGACAAAGCAGAGCCCATGTCTTATCCAGGCTTGTACCCCACATCTTTATGTCTATTCAATGATATTCCAAGTCTTAATGTCTGATTCAAAGTCATTAAGAACTTTGAAAAATGAATGTATTTTAAAGGATTTATGTCATTTATGGTAATTTTAGGTACCATGAGTCAACAAAATTATCTTTCTCATTATTTTTAAAATTTTATATGTAATGTAGATCATGTATTCCATATCCAGGGCTTTTGGCTAAGCAACCTACAGCATTGAATAGATCAGCAACAATGCAGAATGAAACGTAGAATTCCTAGAAAAAAACCTATAATTCTGTAGTAAATGAGTCACATGAGAAGTAAATGTCCAAAGGGGTCTTTTGTGGGAATCATCACAATAGGCTAAAATTGCTAGGAATTAGAAAAATTATTATTATGGATTTGTATAGGACTATAGGTGAGAACAGTCACCAAAAATGGGAGACTGTTTTTTTTTTGTTTGTTTTGTTTTGTTTTGTTTTGTTTTTTTTGAGACGGAGTTTCGCTCTTGTTACCCAGTCTGGAGTGCAATGGCGCGATCTCGGCTCACCGCAACCTCCGCCTCCCGGGTTCAGGCAATTCTCCTGCCTCGGCCTCCTGAATAGCTGGGATTACAGGCACGCGCCACCATGCCCAGCTAATTTTTTGTAGTTTTAGTAGAGACGGGGTTTCACCATGTTGACCAGGATGGTCTCGATCTCTTGACCTCGTGATCCACCCGCCTCGGCCTCCCACAGTGCTGGGATTACAGGCTTGAGCCACCGCGCCCGGCCCGTGAGACTGTTTTAATGAACTGTATGTGAATCGATGAGGGTCTGATTTGGTGTCAGAACAGAAAAATAGATACAATTTGCTTATGAAGAAAAATAGATGTAATTTGCTGGTTGTAATAGATACAGTCTGCTTATAAGCTGTACAGGGCTTAAGGACCTGCTTGCAGGGATACATCCATCGTCCAGACGTGTATTGGAATATACACTCATTTTGTTTTATTAAAGCTTGGTTCCAATCAGAACTAGATTGATGTTTACTTTGTTCATAATTTGGATCCTTCTCTCTTTACACAATTTTCTTGTACTATACAAGGTTTTATGCATTGGATTTTAATTAAATTAGCAAGACTGTTGATTTTGGAAGTTTATTTGAGAAGCTGTGATTTCTTCCCTCTAGACAGAACAGATAAACACTATTTTTATACTATTTTACTTTCAAGACATATGTAATAATTAAGATAAATGCTAAGTAGAAAGCTCAAAGTTATGAATCAGATACAGAGTGATGGCGTACCAAGTTACAGAGCTTTCCTTTGTTGATTCTGTTTCCCCTTTTCTGGCTGTTAATGGTGTTACTTTATTGTTTCTATGAAAACATGTCACATGGTGACATTCATGCAATACCAAGAAGAGACAATAACATAGTAATTGTCCAGCCTTTGACAAACACTGCCTTGAAACAGTGGCCAGTTTGAGGTAGCATAATCAAAATGAGTCCAAGGAACAAACAATGCCAACAAAACAGGAGAAGTAACTCTATTTTTAAATTTTTTATTGGAAAAAATCACTTTCTAGTCTTGGTTTTCACAGCCAGAGCCTTTTACTTTGCTCTTATCTGGGTTTACCATATTTTGACTATTTTTCTCTGGTCTCCGACTCATTTAAAGCCTTTCTTGGCTCCCATTCAGATTGGCACCGAAAAGGGCAGTGTTTCTCCCATTGTTAAGGTGACTCTCTTTGTTTCTCAGCTCTTTCTCTTTGACTCTTGAATCATCACCAAGCCTCTACTCCTTGCTGGTCAAAACTTGGCTTTCTTTCCCACTGTTGTTAAAATGTTCAGTTATAATTTAGAAAGAGAAAAGCAAACTGTGTATTAAACATGATTCTCCAGTATTTTAAGCTTGTTCCTCAAAACCTGAAAGAATATAGGATTAATTTTATCAATTAGGCAAATAATTGCCTTCTCTGGGCCAGGCCAAAGAAATAAACTCACAAGAAAGAAAACGTTCCTTCCTTCATAAAACTGATAGTCTTCAGGAGAGACTAAAAAAATCAGACATACCAAAAATAATGTAATTTGAGAATGTGAAGAGGACAATGAAGAAAATTAAAGTGGGTGATGATGTCATGCATGTGCAGTGGGGAAGTGTTACTTTGGAATGATCAGCTGGAGCTGGACTGTGGGAGAGGTACCACTGGGCCTAGCACATGAATGATGAAGAGGACAGGGCCATGCACACAATTCAGGCAGAGCTTTCCAGGCATGAAAATGACAGATGCTAAAGCCCTAGGACGGGAGATAGGTCAAAGTATTAGGGAGCAAAAGGAAGACCTCACTGGAGTTTGGTGTTTGAAAAGAAAGGCGTCAGACCATGAGGTGAAAGGAGGGCAGGAAAGAGACGCAGGTGGCCACGTGGCCAATGGGAGAGGGTGGCCTGGATTCTCACAGCAGAGACTTTGCTTTTCTCATTGCTCTGTCTGCAATGACCACATAAAGATGGAGACAGTACACTCAAGAAGAACCGAATGGATATTCATTATGAAAGTGAATTTTGTAGCCAGGTGTGCTGGCTTATGCCTGTAATCCCAGCACTTTGGGAGGCCAAGACAGGCAGATCACCTGAGGTCAGGAGTTCAAGACCAGCCTGGCCAGCATGGTGAAACTGTGTCTGTACTAAAACCACAGAATGAACTAGGCATGGTGGCATGCACCTGTAATCCCAGGTACTCCAGAGGCTGAGGCAGGATAATCACGTGAACCCGGGAGGCGGAGGTTGCAGTAAACTGAGATCACACCACTGTCCTCCAGCCTGGGCAGCAAAGTGAGACTTGCATCTCAAAAAAAAAAAAAAAAAAGAAAAAAGAATATTGAAATAGAAAGGGGATTATGGGGTGTTAGCACAGAAGCTGGAGAAAAATTAGGGTTTATGGTAATTCAGGTAAGGTGCAATGATAGCTTGGAGCAGAGTAAGAGTAGTCGAGAAGGAATATGGTAGATATAGCTGGACTTGCTGCTGGCATATACATGGAAGTTGGGAGAAGCGCAAAATCCAAGATAATTATTTTTGTCTTGGGGCTCTAAAGGGTATAAACATAGCAGCATATTTAAGAAATGAAATACAAATCAGTTAAGAATCTGTGATTGTCAACAGACAGTATAGTTCTACATATTCATACAAGTGGTTCTGTCTTCTAATATTCAGGTGCTACTTAGATGACTAGTAGTAGTTATTATGTATATATTAATGATAACTCATTTTAATGTGTACTGTGGAACACAGGTAAAAATAAATATGATTCATGTCACAGTGATATAATCTAGTTGATGGGTAATACATAAGATTTTCATTTATGGAAAGCATCAAAGCAATACAGAATAAGTATGAATTCAATGCCAGAATGATTACCTGGGCTGAGGTGGTTGTGGAAGAGGACATGAAAAGAAGTTTCGAGACAGACTTCAAAACATACGTCTCATTCAAGTCAGTATAAAAGAGGAAAGCATCCTAGGCCAATGAAAACATCACAGGAAAGAATGAAAAATTACTCTATTAGAATGTTGAATGAGTTGGAAATTGACAGGAATAAAAATGACTAGTCCAAAATTAGCGAATTTAATTCAAGGCATGACTAATGTCAAACCAGTTAGAAAAATTGTACATGAGGGAGAACAGGGTACTGTGCTAGGGTAAAAACCACCAGAAAAATCAAAGTTGATGGATTTAGGACTTATTTGTAAGGAAGAAGCGGAATAACATGTCGACAAATGGGATGACAGGAGCAAGTAAGTGAAGAGTATCAGGGATTCAAATGTTAAGTTCCAGCAGCTGGAGACTGAATACCCAATGAGTAAAAGGAGGAGGCAAGAATTAGGAAAGGGTAGCACCCATCAATTTTTAGACCTGTACAATTTCAGGTCTTGGTGAGACCCCACAAGAGATACTTTTAGATGAATGGAGTCTCAAAGGGTTTTAGGCTGCAAATTTCTATCTAAAGGAAAAATATTAGAAGTGCTACTTGATTTTGATGATGGAAGGATGGAGGGTACTAATGAAAGGGTGAGTGTCTCTAAGAATTTGGGCAAAGATGGGAGCCCACTCATGTGATGAAGGAAGAGGCAGAAGCAGAAAGTACACAGGAGGTGAAAATGGAACTTGAAGAGATCTGGAATGAAGCAGCATTCAAGAAGCTCATGGGTTTGGGTGGAAGAGTTTTAAGAAGGGGGGTGGTCTTTACAACATACAGGTCATGGAAAAGCTTGAGGGAGAGAAAATGTGACAAAAAAGAGATCTTCCAAATCAGCTAATAAGGAGATCTTCCCAGTAGAGATAGGAACACTTAGGACCATTCTTTAAATCACAGAGCTAATACATTCAGCCAGGACTCATATGTAGATTCCTTTGCAAAAGAATTATAAACATACCTTTCCTGGATCACAGATTATCTAGTTTTGGGGTTTGCTACTGACTTTGATAATTTAGGGTATTGCAGACATCTAGCTTTCTCTCCCAAACCCATGTTCCTTTCTTCCTGCTTTTGCATGCTGGCCTCCGAGAACATACATCAGCCCCTCCTTGCTGCTAGGTGTGGCCACATGACCAGGTTTAGCCAACTTGAGATGAACAGGCAGATATGTGAACTTTGCACATACATTGCTTGAAATTGCTTGCCTTGATTTTCACCTTTCCCCAGATCTTAAAGTTGGAGCTCAGACTTGATGGTGAATCACCTTGAAATGTGTACATAAGAATGATGAAACTTTGAAGTCCAGGTTAGTTCCATCTTCTGCCTCTGACACTGGATGATGTCAAAGGTAGAAGATGGAACTAACCTGGACTCCAGAATATCTTTGTGGAGCCAAGGTTTCCATGGCAGCCTGGTTTGCTTACTCCCGGTTTCTTTTATAAAAAAGAAACAAAGGTTATGTTTGTTGTAAACATAACATTCTTGTTACAAAAATTTGCCTATTTTTGTTATAAAAATGTGCCTATTCTCTAATTTGTTTGAGAGATTTGACCCTGAGTTTATTTAACCCCCACCCTTGTAATGTGGGCTCCTATTTTCTCACTCTCATGAGGCTTGTTCACAGAAGGTTTTGACAGAGTACAAACAATTGGTAAGTCAATCTTACATTGAGACTAGAAAATATTTATTTTCCACACTTTTGTTTTTCCAAACTCCTTGTCGTTTCTCATTTTTAATACACGGCATGCCACTTCACACCTGCCTTTATTGTGTCAGTTTTTCTTTCTTCCTAGAATGGCCTCTCCAATTCTTTGTCTGGCTTATTCTACCCTATGTCATAAAATCCAGATCATGAAGCCTTCCCTGAGTCACCTAGAAAATGATTTCCTTCCCTGGCCCATATGTATGTGACCCACGTGCAAGACTCTATGCGTCGTCCTATTTTCTGAAGTTTGTTTTCTCTACAGAATGAACTGCTTGTTGAGAAGATAGCATGATTTATTTATCTTTGGTTTCTCATCCTCACCCTTTAGAGTTCCTGCTAGGTAGTAGGCTATAAACTTAGTCCAAGCAAAGATTTCTTAAGCGAATAGAAAAAAAAAAAAAAAAAACCAAGAAAAAATACTTTCTCTTTTTTTCAGGTAACAATTGTTTCATTATTAGGAATTTTAAAGCCAGGAAGGAAAGAATTTAGCAAACATGTATAAATTAGCAATTCAATGGTTATTCTCTATAACAAGAGCCAAACATTGTCTGCAATGATAGGACCTGTCAGAGAGATTTTCTTTCATCATGAAATGGTAAAGCTAAAGAGGATGGTAAAGTTCCTTTTCCAACTCGAGAAGGACAGAGAACATAGTGAGGTTTGATCCTGTCACTGTTTTATTTATCCTTCTGCTCTTGATCAGGACTGAGACACAAAATGTATTAAAACTATAAAAAGATACACACATCTGCACATACATGCATTCACACACATGCATTCTCACACACACATACACAGACACACATACATATTCATACACCTACACATGTACATATATCCACCATACATACTCCACACACATACACAGACATACATGCATACACATACAAACCCACACACATACACACACACATATACACACAAACACACATATACACATACACATACACACACACGCACACACACACACCTTTTCCCAAACACACATCTATATACTTTGTTTTATGCCAAGACCGTGTTCTATGTCAATCTCAAACTGAAACCCAGACTCCAAGGCTTAATGCTACAGATGAAAAATAAAATCACTTTAAATGCTATGATTTTGTTAATATTACAAAACCTGATTTTTTCACACACCCTCTCCCACTACAGACTGATGGCTGAAAGTGACAGCCAAGTGTCCATCTTTAACCAAATGAAAAAATAGGCAAGAAGGGATCCCGAAGAATGCAAAGGGAGTGGAGGAAATGGGCCACATCCAGGAGGGAATGGCATAGCATGGGTGATGAGGGCAAGTTGTTTATATGGAGCCTTCTTGGCTTACTATTTCCCAGGCAGTGTGCTCCCAGCCTTAGTATTTTGTGGTAATTTTCGCTCTTCAGGATGTATAGAAGAACCAGGTCAGGGACTCTGTGCTAAACTTAAATTATAGAATGGGGCTCATGGGATGGTGCCCTGGAGAGACAAGAGCCTTCCTGGAATGGGCTTGGGTTCTGGTTCCTCCTTGACCTGATTGACTTTGGGTTACTCACTCAATAGCTTTGCACCTAAATCTTTTTACATGCAAATTGAGTGGATTCTACCAAATGGCCTTGAAGTCCCTTTGTCTAAGATTATGTTCTTTTTTCCCTTGAACTCTACCAGTTTTGATAATGTGAAAAATTCACCATAGTTTTAAGACTCTATTTCCAAATGACCCATATTATCTAAGTCTGTATTATCGTAATTTTCCGTTGTTAGTGCAAAATGGAATTCCACAGTGGGCCTTGTGCTCTTAGGTCTTGATTATGCCCTTGCTCCTCATACAGAAAAAAGAGACTCACTTTCTGAGCCTCAAGAAATATTTTATGGCTTGCATACATAAGTTTTGTTGGCTAAGGATAGCAGTCGTAAAGCATAAGTGAAAGGTATTTTAAGTGTAAGAATAATTATTGGTCACTTTACTATCTTTAAGCTGTCAAAAACTTCTCAGGTGCCTACCCTAGATTATATACACATCCCCTTCCAAATCTCTGATTGATATGGAGTGCAAGTTTCCATTTTTAATTAAAGATAACATCTTTGCTTAAAAAACATGGCTGTTCATTGATATACAGATTGAGAAATCAGTGTGTCCTTTAGGAATTTCAAGCTGTGGAATCAACCAAAGGTTTGTAGAATAATAGGACCCTTGAGACTTTTATGATTCTAAGACTTTGATCTGCTACCAACAAGTCACTCAATTTTGTCTGTGAGCCTCACTTAATGTGAAAAAGCGATACATGATCTCCAGTAAGTGCTTTTAATGCAGAAAAAATGGTCTTACTTCCAAATAAGAGTCCTCATTTATATATTCATAGCAAACGATCACTTGTAAAGATTCAATGACCAATTCATCTTTCACATATTTAACATTTATTGAGTGCCTGTTTTTGCAGGTACTAAGAATATACCAGTCATCAAGAAAGAACTTCTGTTCTCCTGAAACGTGTAGTCTAGTTGGGGTTTGGAGAGAAGAAATAGGCAATAAACAACAATTAATAATAAAGGCATCCTTGTCAGATGGTGATAAATGATAGAATAAAAATGATATAGGATGGTGTAACAGAATGATGGGGCTATGACATTAGCCTACTCAAATCTCTTTGAATAGTTTTTCATTCAAGATTATATTCTGATGCATAAAACAGAAACTCCAAAACAGTACTGGCTGAAGCAGGATATAAATTTGTCTCTTTCATGTCATGTATTTGCAGAAGTAGGCATGTCATATATTTTCATGTCACTTACTTGTAGTAGTAGACAGAGCTCTTATATTAGGGACCTGAATACTTTCTAGCTTTATTGTTTTCTGTCTTTTTGGTCTACTGTCCTAACTGTGCCCCAGATCATCTTATCGTTGAAAGAAAAAGAGATGGGGGAATGTATTAGTCTGTTCTCACATTGCTGATAAAGACTTACCCAAGACTGGGTAATTTACACAAGAAAGAGGTTTAATTGACTCACAGTTCCACATGGCTTGGGAAGACTCACAAACATGGTGGAAGGTGAGTGAGGAGCAAAGTCACATTTTACATGGCTGCAGGCAAGAGGGCATGTGCAGGGGAACTCCCCTTTATAAAACCATCAGATCTCATGAGGCTTATTCACTATCATGATAACAACATGGGAAAGACCTGACCCCTTGATTCAATTACCTCCCATGGGGTCCCTCCCATGACGTGGGAATTATGGGAGCTACAATTCAAGATAAGATTTGGGTGGGGACACAGCTCAGTCATATTCAAGGAAAGAGTAGCAAACCTTCTCTGAGTAGCACTGCCGGATATCACCTACAAGTTCTGCTGTAACTCACTTCTTAGAAATGAGCTGCATTTCCCTATCTGGATGCAAGAATGAGGCAGAATTGCAGTCTTTTAGCTAATGACATTGGTAAAAAGAGGAGAAGTGTATTTAGTGCAGTAGGTATTTGCCCCAATCATCAATTATGTTTCAAGTACTATGGGTGTTTTTATTCCCTAAGCTGGTGGTTTTTTAGTGCTGATTTTTGCCTTAGCAAGATAAGAATTATAAGGAAAGCCACATTATAAGAGAGATCTACACCAAAATGTACAAGATAAAAAATATATAAATAAGAGCAGAAGCATGTTAGGAAAATGTTAAAACAATTTTGTGTACTTCCTACCGTAGAAAGAATTTCTGTTCCAATACTACTTCTGTGGGCTCTCGGCTATTGTAGTCATCAGGTCTAGAGCAACAAAGGGAAGATAAATGGGAGGTTGTTTCAGGGAGAGGAAGCAGACACAAAGGCCCTCAGAAGAAAGTGTGTATGGTGTGTCTGAAGAAGAGCTAGCAAGGAGTCCCGTGTGGTTGCAGGTTGGAGACTGGGAAGCGTGGCACATGATAATTTCAGAGAAGCACCAGGAGATGGGGTCTGGAACAGTCCTTTAGGCTGTCGGTAGCACTTTGGATTTTACCCTGAACGAGAAGGGGAAGTCACTGGCATGTTTTGAAGAAGGGAGTGACATGATTTGACATATATTTTGAAAGAAAAGTGTCTCTTGTATGAATTATTTTTAAAAAGAGATAAATTAACATAAAAATGAATGATGAATTTGGTTTTCAGACATAGATGTGCCATTTTATAAATTACCATGTTCTTAGAACTTCAAAAGTGCCATTTGTCTCCCATAAATGAAGAGTTTATTTGCTAATTAATTTACTTACAGTAGATATAATAAATCATATATCTGTAAAAAAAAAATGACAGGCCTCAGATTTCACCCTACTTGCAGACTGACATCATTTGTGTGACCGTTTGTTGAGCCCCAGTTCCCACAGGGGTAACATCAACAGAACCAAGTGACCCCTGCCCACCCAGCACATTGCATTACAAGAGAGGCAGCTTGAGATTTGGGAAAACAAATCATTTATAATGGGCATTAGGTATGCACCTGCCCTTTGTTTGTTCCATGGAAACACACTTTCTCTGCCTTCCAGGGTTGTTCATTATCAGAAGGTCCTTGAAAAAAGACCAGAACAAGAGTCAGTGCCTCCCCACAAGATATGCAGAAAGGCAAGAGGCTCTGGAGAATTATTTCCCATAAATGCAATTTTAGTAGTATCATTTTAGGATGTTAATATGAATGTATTTGTGCAAGACATACCAATTATTTATAAATTATGCTAATGTGAATTATAGATTTTGTGTGTCATTTTAGGATATTAATATGAAAAACCCACTTATATTGATAGTTGACGTGTTAAGGTACCTTAGAAGCATTAAGAATTCTTTGCAATGTGGTACACAAGTTTCACAATATGATTTCTACAAATGAATGACTTGGATTTTAAAAAGGCAATTAAAGAAAAAAACTACTCTTCTACTGATACATAATACGTCTTATACTCATATAGACACCAAGTGTGTAAGTTCTTTGCACACCAAGCAACTCTCCAATTCTCTTTACCAACCAACTGGGTGTCCTACAATTCAGTTCCATTCTAATAGTAGCTACCGGGAATTGACAGATCCACACACATTAATGGCAAATTCCTACAATACTGTCCCCATTTCAGATACCAGTCACAAGTCTCAAGTTGTCACCTGTAACTTCTAACTGACTAGCCGGAACCCCTTCTTTAGTTCAATAAATTTCCATAATGGCTCAAAGAACTCGGGGAAATGCTTTACTTACTATGACTAGATTATTATAAAAGACATAACTTAGGAAAAACCATACGAAAGAGGCAAGGTATACGGAAGGAGGGTGGAGCATCCATGCTGTACCCAGGAGTATCACTCTCTGAGCTCCTCCCTATGTACACCAAGCCCAAAGCTCTCCAAACCCCATTATTTAGGGTTTTTGTGGAGGTTTCATTTCCTAGTCATGACTGATTAAATCACTGGATATTGGTGATCAAGTCAATCTCCAGCCCTTTTTCTCTTTCCAGAGGTCCAGGGTTGGGACAAAAATGTCCAACTACTCTAATCATACCTTGATCTTTCTGGTGACAAGTCCCTAGCCTCCAAGGGTCACCTCATTATCGTAAACTCAGATATGACCAAAAAGGAGTTATTACGAATTTTAAAAAGATAACTTGTCTCACCCGGGTCATTTTGGGAAATTCCAAGGATGTTAATGATCTAAGCGTCAGGAACTGGGGACAGAAACCAAACATGTATTTCTTATTATGCTGCAACAATATTATTTCTTGTCTTGCAACTGATGTTTGTAAAAGTCAATACTTTTCATATCAAATAATGTTTTCCCATCTATTTCAGCTCTAATTTTAGGGTTGTGTTACCATAGCAGTTCATAAGAGCTAAAATATACAAGTGTCATTTAAGAATCCTAAGATTCTTTATCTTTTTTTCATTTCTATCATGCAATGGAAGGGACCTCTAATTCTCTTCTTAAATTCCTATAAAAATTTAGTGCAAAGGGTATAGCTGTTTATATTCACTTTAAATACGTGTGTGTGTGTGTGTGTGTGTGTGTGATATACATATATATATGTGTGTGTGTGTGTGATATATATCACACACACACACACACACACACACTATAATATAAATTCTGATTTTACTGCAAGTGTCTATTAAAGTTACTCAATATTTTCTCTGTGAAATATATCAGTTAATTTTTTAAAATCTTATATCCCGATGCTATGCTTTCTTTTCTTTTAAAAATAAATACGGAGCGAGTGGGTTTTATATGAGAAATGCTAGGCTGGTCCAACATTTGAAAACCAATCTATGTAATCCATCATATCAAGAGATGAAAAATATGGGATTATATCCATTTACACAGAAAAGACAATTGACAAAATTCAATACTTGTTTATGATAAAAATTGTCATTATACTAGGAATGGAGAGAACATCCTAAGCTTTCTTAAAAGCATCAATATAAAACCGGTATCTAACGTCAGAAGTTATGGTAAAAGTATCAATGACTTACCTTTAATATCAGAATTAACATGAGATATCTGCTTTTCTCACTACTATTTAACATAGCACTGGCAGTTCTAGTCTCTGCTGTAATGCAAGAAAAAAAAAAAGAAATGCATATACATTGGAAAGGAAGAAGTAAAACTGTTTCTGTTTGTAGATGACATAATTATCTGCATCGAAAACACCAAGGTGTCCAGAAACAAAACAACAACAAAAAACTTTTTAAAATTAATAAATTATTTCAATAAGGTCATAGGACAAAAAGTCACCAAAAATGTCAGTTAAATTTCTTTATACTATCAAAGAACAAATTGAAACACATATTTTTTAAAAAATACAATATCTTGCAGTTTTTCCAAGGAAAATAAACATGTACAGGATCTGTATGATGAAAGAAGACCTAAACAATTAGAGAGATATATCACATGCATGTATTGGAAGACTAAAATACTATTGATGTCAATTCTCAACAAATTTATATACAGATTTAAGGCAATTCCTATTAAAGTCTCAGCAAGTTTCTTTATAAACAGACAAATTATCCTAAAGATAATACTAAAATTTACATGAAAACATAAAGACCCTAGAATAGTCAAGACAATTTTAGATCTTAATCTATAGCTGCAGTAATCAATACAGTGTAATCCTGACAGAATTATAGACTCATAGGTAAATGGAACAGAATTAAGAATCCAGAAATAGATCCAGAAAAATGTACCAAACTCATTTTTAGTGAAGAACAAAACAAATTCAATGGATGAGGGGTAGCACTTTCAGTAAATGGTTCTTTTTTTTTTTTTTTTTTTGAGACGGAGTTTCGCTGTTGTTGCCCAGACTGGAGTGCAATGGCGCGATCTCGGCTCACGGCAACCTCCGCCTCCTGGGTTCAAGCAATTCTCCTGCCTCAGCCTCCCGAGTAGCTGGGACTACAGGCACGCACCATCATGCCCAGCTAATTTTTGTATTTTTAGTAGAGACGGGGTTTCACCTTGTTGACCAGGATGGTCTCGATCTCTTGACCTCGTGATCCACCCGCCTCGGCCTCCCAAAGTGCTGGGATTACAGGCGTGAGCCACCGCGCCCGGCCCAGTAAATGGTTCTCAATTAGACATTCATAACAAGAAAGAGAAACTTTGACATATTATCTCACACCATATATGAACCTCACACCTTAGCTCAAAATAGATTATAAATTTGAAACATAAAACTATAAAACTTTTGGAAAAGGACAGAAGAGCAAATCTGTGCTACCTAAACCTAGGCAAATAGTTCTTAGATTGGACACCACAAGCATGATCCATAGAGGAAAACTTGATAAATTGTGCTTAATGTTTTTAAAAATGTTCTGCAAAAGACTGTTATAAAGATAAAAAGGAAATTACAAGTTTGAAGAAAGTATTTATAAATTGCCTATCTGACAATGACCTTGTATTTAGAATATATAAAGAACTTTCAGAATTCAACGTTCAAAAAATCCAATTAAAACTGCTCAGAGAACATGCACAGACATTTCACTAAATAGGATATATGGCTGGAAAATGAGCACATAAAAAGATCTTCAACATAATGAACCAGTAAAGAAATGCCCATTAAAACTGCAATGAGAAATTAGTACATATCTATTAGAGTGACTAAAATAATAAATAGGAATAACATTAAATGCTGGTGAAGATACAAAAAATGGATCACTCATACAGTGCTAGTGGATACACAAATGGTGCAGCTATCCCAAAAATAGTTTGGTACTGTTTTTCAAAACTGAAAATGGACTTACCATAAAACCTAATAATTGCACTCTGAGGCACACATTCCAGATAATAAAGACTGATTTTCATTAAGAACTTAAACATGAATGTTCATAGCAGCTTTTTTGGTAATAGGTCCAAACAGAAAATGATTCAAAAGTCTTTTAGTGAGAGTATGGCTGAACACCATGTAATGTATCCACAACATGAAAAACTTCTCAGCAATAAAATGGGAACAAGGCTGCATGTGGTGGCTCACACCTATAATCCCAACACTTTGTGGGACCAGTGTGGGAAGATTGCTTGAGCCCCAGAGGTAGTGACCAGCCTGGGCAACGTGGCTGGTCTCTACAAAAGTCCTAACCTTGTCTCTACAAAAAAATAAAAATAATTTAGCCAGGCATGGTGGTGTATGCCTGAGGTGCCAGCTCCTCAGGAGGCTGAAGCAGGAGGATTGCTTGAGCCCATGAGGTGAAGGCTGTGGTGAGCCCTGTTCACACCACTGCACTCCCACCTGGGTGCTGGGTGACAGAGCAAGAACCTGTCTCAAATATAATAAATAAAAATAAAAAGAGAACAAAACACTGATAACACAAAATAACAACTTGGATCACCATCAAGGAAATTATAAGAGTTGCATAGTTTCATTAATGTAACATTTCTGAACTAACATAATCACAGAAATGAAAAACAGATTAGAGATTGACAGGGGTTGGAGATGGGAGACTGCGGATTTGGCTATAAAGGAGTAATTTTAGGGAGATTCATGTTAATGCTATGATATAGTATTTTGACTGTGGCAGTGGTTACTAAAAGCTACACATGTAACAACTGCATAAAACTACAGACACACCCCTAGAACCACACGTACACACAGAAGAACACATGTATAATGGTGAGCTCTTAATAAGTTCTGTGGGCTGTAGACATGTCAACTTCTTGGTTTTGACATTTTACCTTAGTTGTAGATAATGTATACAAAATTTCTCTGAATAGTCATCTGTAAACCTTTGTGCATCTGTATTTATTTCAAAATAAAAAGTGAACAGAAAATGTGAAGTTGGTGTCATGTCACGTAGACAATGAGGACAACATGTGTGTGTTGCTTAATGTCTAATTAATTCCTGACTTTAGGTCCTAGTAAGTCTTTTATTTTTTTAAGACTAAATATAATGTTAACATTAGCAGGGATTGTCATAATTTTTTTGTCAAAGTTTGCTACCAGTTAAAGTATGTCTAATATATTTTGATAAGTATGGAGAAGGATCTATATTCAGTGCATATATATTCAAATTCCATACATATAGCTCATTTTAATTTAAAAAATGTAACTGAGTTTTTAAGAAACAATTTTAACTCTGTTATCACATATAAGGATAACATTGGAAGAATGTACATTAAACTATTGAAGACAGTTACTTCAGAAGTATAGCATTTTTTCATTTATTTCATTATGGGTATCTTTATATTTGGTATTTTTATGCCTTAATAATTTTTTCTTTTAATCACAAAAATTGTCAAATAGGAAAACAATAAAATGAAGCCTAGCATCAACTTATAGACTAAAATACAGCAATATTTTTAATACAGCAATTCAAAATGTACTAATATATCTGTTTTGGGCAGCTGGCTGGGCAGAAGCCACTCAGGGCACTGCCTCTGGGTTCTCCAGCCTTAAAGAGTGGATCATGCCTGCAAATGTCAAACCCACTCTGTTCACACAGCTCTCTTTAGGGTCATCTAATGCTAATCTATTAAATTGGAAATCGGAAAAAAAAATGACAAAGTCATTTGTTAGAAAGGATTAACAGCACCCATGAATGAATGGTATGCAAATAAAAGATGTAATATATTTAAAACACATCCTGAAGACACCTGAAACAACCACAGCGTGAATCTGGTGTTATTGTGCAAACCCCTTTCAGTGAGGTTGGGGAGGCTCTGGTCAGTGGGGATTGCCTGGTCCCCTCCGACCTGCTCCTTGTCTGATCAGGTTGTCTGTTTAGTGTTCTGAAAGGGTTTCCAGCCTGTGGACCTAGGCAGCACTGGGTGCTTCTGGCTGACATAGCTAATACTCCAGAGGCTGTTTTTGTGGCACTACAATTGCTCCCAGTACAGTCATTACAGTTGAGAGAGACTCTCTGTGACTGCAGAGACTTCCTCACCTCTATTTCTGTTCTGGTAGCTATTTATGTTCTTATTAGTTACTGCACAAATCTGCAGTGTGCAAAAGATGGTGGAAGGTTACCTCATTTCCCATAGAATGTGCTTTGCTGAGCCTCCCATAAAACCCTTCCTCGTCTGTAAAATTGTGAATATCTTTTGTGAAATGCCTCTTATAAAATCCTCCCTATCGTGGGTGAATATTTTTATAGAAATTCTTGACTTCAGGTGAGAAAAAATATCTTTTCGGCTTAATGTTGCTAAGAAAAATTTCCCTCTTCCTTAGCAGTTATCCCTGAACAAATGCGTTTCAATAGGAAAAAATATATTGGTCTACACTGAGGTAAATTATAACTTATGATGTTGGGCAGTAAATATCATTTTATCCCATCTGGAAAAATGGAATTATCTTTTAACTGAAAATTTAGATTCTAGCCAGTCATATATTACACTGCTGTTGGGACTGGGAACATTTTGTTTCTGTTTTAAACAGAAATTTCAATGATGGAGATGTTTATCTGCAAGAGGCTGCTCAGAGTTACAAGTAAAATCATTGTAAATTTTATAGGGAAATTCAGAGATACTGGACAAAGTATTATAGGTTCATAACATTCAAGAACAATCGGGTTGAAAAGAAAGCTTCTAATGAATGGTTGTGAGTTACAGAAAAAGAAAACAGGCCATTACCTGAGATAGATACAG